GCAATCTGGTCTGTCATTCTAATATCAGTTCTCACGTACCGTGCAAAGGCTGAACCACACCCCAAAACGTACCTATCACCTGCACAGCATCGAATAACCGAGCAAGAGAGCCCATATACTGTGCGTAAGGCCCGGAAAATTGCGCTGTGCCCGTGTCTCGCCTGGCTGGTCGACTGGTAGGCTGTGCTGTCATTGGCAAAGTCGGGATCGAGTCCTTGTTACCCTCATTACTTGCATTGCGAATTGGGTGGTGCGAGTTTGCCAGGGCTGAAGAAGAGTTCTTCGGCCGCAGACGACGCCATGAAAAGGATGATTTCCCAGAAACGCTAGACGATCGTGGCAACACTGCTCCTGAATCTCCATCTGCGCCACCCATGCCATCCTTGAACAGAGAGCTGGTACTGTGGATGCCTACTTCATTTCCAAGTTTGCGAGTCAGAGCTGCCTGAATTTGCTCCAAAATGTTCTCCAAAGCCTGCATTTCCTCAAGTAGGGCGTCTGCGTCAAAAGTATCAACTTTGGCTAGTTTCAACAAAGCTGCCGTGAGGAAATCGCAGTTTGCAATCTTGTCTTCGATGTTTTTGAGCTTTACACCCTTGACCCGCCACGCCTCTCTTGGAACAAATAACTTGAGGCTAAGATATCCACCGCGTGGATGCACCAAGGTTTGGTACAGGCATCGCATCAGCCAAAAGGGTCTCAGCATGAAGTCCGTTGGGCAGGGCTCCAGTGGTACAGGTGCTTCCGAGACCGTCGGGTTGGGCGAGCCGGGGCTGTCAGGGCTGTGGAAATGATGTTCGAGGAGGAATAGACCTCCGACCGCGGTTTCCGCTCTATCACGTAATGTGGCTGCCAGCGGTGTTGGCATAATGGGCATGGTCGGTGCGCGTGAGTTAATTCCCCAGTGTGCGCCCATAGCTGCCGCAGGAGATATTTCGCTTTCGTCTAGATTCGACACGGATAGGTTACGAGCCTTTAGGCTTCGCAAGCTTGAGGAAGAAAAGTTCTTCTTGAGTTTACCCGATGTGGGGGAGCCAGAGCGCCCAGTTGAGCTTTCCTCGCCATCAGGTCGATTATCAAGGGGAGACCCAAATGACCTTGGGTCAGTTGGGCTGATTTCGGCCGAGGGCGGTTGTCGAGAGGCAGTGGTGGGCCGTGCTAACTCCACAGATTGTATGTCGCCTTTATCAGTCGAGACTACATTGGCCTGAGGAGTTTCACTGTTGCTACTTGTTTCCGGCATGGCAAGTCTTTTTGTCTCTATCTTTAGCTGCTTGTAGTTCTGGGTCGACTGCCGGCGATTTGTATTTCCAGCGAGGGCGGAGGAAACTTTGTCTGATGGAAGATCCGGAAGGGCATGCGTTGGCGGGGGCGCCAGAGCAGGGCCGGATGGGATATAAGGGGCAGGCATCGACTCGGTCACTGTTGATAGCGAAGTGCTGCTACCCAAGGCGCTTGATCCTGCAGAGCTATGCCATGTGTTTACTGCAAGGCCGCTAGACTCGGACTCGCGTGTGAGGGATGAGGGCTGAGCCTGGCCATGAGCAGCTAAGTCTTTAGAAGCGAGGTCACGAGTAATCTCGTCAAGCATTCGTTCCTCCTCATCAGATGAATTGTCATCAAAGAAGTAATCTTGTCCCTGGTGGGCATGGTACCGTTCTGTTTGGCCCAAGGGTGGATGCTGGAGCAACATGAGTCGTTGTCTCTCCTGTTCACTTGCCACTTCGTATGCTTCCCGTTCGGTTTGCCTAACCCGCTCCCGTGCTATCTCGACCTTGCGCAGCGCGTTGGCCACTACCTCTTCATCCGGAACATTGGCATTGATATCGCTGTCATCCATAGGCTCATAACCCTCGTCGTAGGCTGCCTCAATGGCAGCATCCAACGCGGTATCGAATTCGGCCTCAGTATCGCCGCTACCAGCCCGAATGTGCCTCCGTCTGTATCCCAAAGAAGACGTACGGGAGTGAACAGACGAAGCATTGGAGCCTCCGGATTCGTCAATGGGATCCAGCCAGGAACTTTGACTGTTTTCTCTGGTATGATCGATGACCCTTCGAGTCTCCGAAGCGACCGAAAAGTCAGTTCGTATAGGTCCGTCCAGTCCGTCTCCGTGGAGCCCTGATGAGCCTTGTATAGTGGTAGATTGTCCATAGGATGAAGGTGCGTTCATGGCAGATGACATAACATGGTCGGGGAATCTTGATCTGACTGGTGTCCGATTGAAGGATGAATGTAGAAAGCCATGCTCAGGCGAGTGAATGGGATCTGTGTCAGGAGACTGAAGCCTCGGAGGCCGATGTTCTTGCCGTGTCTGCTGCTGGTGCTGATATTGGTGATGCTGGGTGTGGGTATTTGCATGGGTCATTGCGTGAGGAGTCTGACTGTCTTCGCGGCCGATCCTTCTGAGAGTCGCTGTTTCCACTGCCGTCGGGTCCGCTTCACGCTCGGGTGCGTGTTGAATGATGGTCCTTCGATTTGATACCTCCTCATCCGGATAGGCAGGAAGCGACTTGCCGTTGTGCCACAAGGAAAGCATCTGATCCAACTCGCTAATTCGGCTGCTGTAGGTACGACGCTGTACGACTTGAAGTGAGCAAGAGTGTCAAATAGTGGAAGGGACGATTGGGGTAAGTGGGATGGTGAGCTGTGACGTACAATAGCTTCAAGCTTGCGTTTGTCCTCGTCGCCTGAGGTTCTTTGCAGCACCTGGTGGAGAAGCTCGCAAGCCTCAGCGTAGGCCTGGCGGGCGCCTCTGAAGTCCTGGTTATTGTCAAGCAGGACAGCACTGTTCGCCTTCTGGAGGGCGCGTGAGAGCATAGCTTTCTGCGAGGGAGGTTTAGGTGCACGGGCCTTGGACGAGTCCGCACTGCTCTTTCCTGAACGGTTTCGAGAGTGACCGTGTGAACGCTCCTCTCCATTGAGATGACCCTCGTCTGAGGGGGTCATTGTGGTCGCCATGGCTGCCGAGGGCCGTGAGGATATCGATTCAGTTACTTGAGCGCCAGCGGGTAGAAGCCCGCGGCTTCCAAGGTGTAGATTCGTGGCAACGCGGGCGGCAATGGGGCGATAATGGGCTTGAAAACCTCTCCCTGGAGAACCGGGCGCTTGAGCCGTGTGGGACCCAGGGGGTTGATGATTGATTTCAGGGCTGGTAGCAAACTTGGCGAAATGACCTAGAATTCCACTGTTGGTCCGAGTATGTTTGTGTTTCTGCACGGACGGGTTGGGCGTGAAGGATGAGGCGGTCGTGGAGGGTAGGGAGGTGCTTTGGGGAGTTGTTGTCGGCTTCTGGCGGGCGGTTGGCGAGCGCGGGGCAGCAGGAGGGTGCGACACTGTGTTGTCGACACTTGAATTGGTTGAACTGGACCAGCGGTCGACGTAAGAGCGGTTTCCTGGAGAAACGTCCCTGGGAGGTCGTCTCGGATCTACATTTGCACCGGAGGGATTGTGGTGGTATTGGGGGTGGCCAAGGCGCAAGAAGGTGAAGGCTTCGGACCGGTCAGTGTGGTGAGTGTCCGCGGCATGAGGAAAGGCCGACGCGGAGGCCAGGCGAGGAGATGATGTAGAATGATATGGTGTTAGCAGTGAGCCCCCGCGAGGTAGGCGTGTGGTTTGCGAATCAATGTCGAGATCGGTCTTTGGGAAATGCGATGGAAGGGGAGAGGCGGATGGGGCGGGCCTGGCGGTCGGCGGGTACAGGCTGGGATTTTCGGATCGCACTGCGAGGTGTGAGTCGTGATGCATGATCCAATGGCAGGCTAAGTCGTGGGGGCGGATCCAAGGCTGGAGCTAGTAGGTAGCAGAATTGGTTTACAATTGGTAGCCAGTCACTTTCATCGCCTGGCGCTTGGTTTCCTTTTAGTTGGGTTGCATGAGCAGTCCAGTCCCCTCCCCCTTTTCCCTCTTCGGAGAGATAATAATTTTTGACCGTGATGCGGCAGGTGTGAGGGATGGCCATGACCATGGGGGGCGAAACCAGGGGGGGACAGCCTAATGGGGACGCGATGGACGATGGATGCTCTCTGTCGGGGTCAATCAGAGAGACTTCGAATATTACTGCTAGGTATGGAGCCTTATTATGTGAGGTCTTGGGGTCTGGAAGGAACCCAACTATTTCCTACCTTCCTACCTACTTACACCAGCCTCCGCCGAGATGCATCTCGTGCCAGCTCGTTCCACCCATGCCTTGGTTCTCTGCCTGACAGTAGAATGCATCGAGCACTGGGCCACATTCAAGCATCAATTAGTTGGCCAGCAGCGACGAGTAGGGAAGGAGGGAGCCCTGAGTGTGTTCCTGCCAGGGGCCTGTGGGCCGTTCCTGGCCGGCGAGCAAAGGCTGCTAACTAGTGGCGGGCACTCGCTCTATCTGGGGCCTGGATGTGGTCCGTGAGACTTCTGTCGCCTTTCTAGGGGATCACCTCATAGGAGTATCTGAGAGGTAGGTACTTCTCCATTAGCCACATAGGTTGTACCTGCAGGCCCTGCTCACCGACCGACCTTGGGATTGGTCTCGATGCGGACGCCTGATCCGTGCACGTTTCTGCCTCAGTTATGCAAGAGCATAACAGTCAGCAAGTACCGACACACCAAGAGGTACATGACGTAAGCTAACTACTCGCGGCTAGGTACATCAGTACCTGAGCAGTCTTAGCCGCGCCGCGCCAAGACTTGGAGCTCTAGTGTGTCGCGCTTGAAATTGTATCGTCATCTTGTAAATCGATGCTGCAGTGCCTCTAGCAGCTATTCCTGATTGCGTTTTTCCTGTTCTCACCCAGCCCCAAGGATTGAGAAAACAATGGCGAGCGTTGATGAGATTTTCAAGGTTAGTCACATGCACTTCAACATTATTCAAGCCTGCCAAATACTAAATCCGCTCCACAGAATTCCGGCCTGTCCAGTAAACGAAGGCTTGATTCCATCCGAGATCCTAGTTAGTACTCATCGCCCGAATATATGTGCCTTGAGTGGCTTCTCTTTCAATTCGTGTATCTAATACGATGTCTGTTGCATATTTAGATGAGATCTACAAGAGCGCAAAATTAGATTCTCGCGGCCCGAATAGACATACCCAGGTTGAAGACGGCGATGCCGATATTGAGGCTGGACCAGCTCTACCTCCCGATGACGAGGAAGAATACGGACCCACCGTCCCCATCGACGATGAAAAGGGTGACGACGAGGAAGGTCGCTTCTTTGGTGGTGGAATATCAAAGCAGGAATCCGAGATCCTCGATTTTGTAGAAGGCGCCGACAACGGACGAGAACAAGACAAGATTGATGGAAGCTGGCTACGCAGAACTGCTCTAAATTTTGAAAAGCATATCGCCAAAAACGCTGAATTGCGCGCGAAATTTGAATCGGAACCACAGAAGTTCATAGCGAGCGAAGCCGATCTTGACGCCGACATCAAAGCTCTGTCTATCTTGGCAGAACACCCCGAACTATTTCCCGATTTTGCGTCTCTTGGCTGCGTAGGCAGTCTTGTCAGTCTTTTAGCACATGACAATACCGACATTGCAATAGATGCAATTGAGATCATTGGCGAGCTCACAGACGAAGACGTGGTTTCCGAGGAGGCGCAGTGGAATGCTCTGGTCGATGCTCTTCTAGATGCCGATCTACTTAGCCTGATTGTGTCCAATTTTTCTCGCCTGAACGAAGAGGACGAGGCCGACAGGAGCGGCGTCTACTATTCCCTTGGAGTCATTGAGAACCTCTGCTCCCGAAGCGCAGTAGCAACACGAATTGGCCAAGAGGATAAGTTAGTTCACTGGTTACTTGACCGTACCCAGAGGAAGGAACTCGCCGTATCGCAGAACAAACAATATGCCGCTGAAATACTTGCAATTCTCTCTCAAGCATCAGCGGAGAACCGCAATGAGCTCATCAAGCTTGATGCGACCGATAAAATGCTTCAACTAGTCGCATCCTACCTCCGGCGAGATCCTGAAAAGGGAAGCGAAGAAGAGGAGTACATGGAGAACCTTTTCGAGGCGCTCACGTGCCTCGTTGACGAACCTGAAGGCAAGACCAAGTTCATAGAAGCAGAAGGTATCGAGTTATGCTTGCTCCTGTTCAAGGGTGGCAAGACGAGCAGATCTCCTACCCTTCGTCTGCTGGACCACGCTACTGCCAGCAAGACAGGTGCAGAAGTATGTGAGAAGCTGGTGGATGCAGGCGGCCTCAAGGGTACATTTACGCTCTTCATGAAATCCCAGGATCACCGTCTCTTGAGCCATCTGCTCAATATTTTTGCCTCAATGCTCAGGCTTCTCCCTGCCAATTCAGCGGAAAGGATTCGCTTACTGGCCAAATTTGTTGAGAAAGATTACGAGAAATTGCACAAGTTAACGAAGCTCCGACACGATTACAGTCGCCAAATCAAGCAAGCCGAGGAGAAGAACGAACAAGAACGGCTGTCCTCGAAGGGGGATGATAAAGAAGAGTTGGAAATCGAATGGCTGTCCAGAAGACATGATGCTGGCCTCTTCATCCTGCAGGCCATCGACGTGATTCTCGCATGGCTGTCTGCTGAGGATGGTGGGGCAAGTCGCAAAATCAAGCAGCTTCTGGCAGAACGGGATGAGACTGTAGCAGTTATCAAAGCAACACTCACAGAGCAATTAGAAGCATTGGATACGGAGGAAGAGGACGGTCGAGATTTAAAGGATATGTTAGGTACGCTCGTAGAGTTACTACGCTAGTTGGTTACAAGACGTCCAATCCATGTCAATGAGAAGAACCAGAGCTCCTTCCACGCAACCTATCAAGCGTTCTAAAATTCAAGGGCCCTTCCAAACAATGCGTGATACATCCCTATGCTTCTCCCTAGTAAAGATTTAAGCAGCTTGCGGGGGAGTAGGCTTGGCGTCCAGGACAGCAGTGAGCAAGTTCTTGATCACACCGGCCTGTCCCTTCTTCCCAGCCTCCTTGATGATCTGGATTTGCTTCTCCGCCTCCTTGTTTGCCTCGTCTTCGGCCTGCTCGTTGCCTTTGCTATGCTATAAGATCCACGTCAGCGTATGCTCGTCCAAGAACCGCCCGATAGTCTATCAGTCGATCAGATGCAGTCTAGAGTTGTACCTCAGCCTCAAACTTCTTGAATTCCTGCTCCTTCTGGGCTCTGTAGTCGTTTATCTCCTGCTTGGCCTCATCTCGAGCCTCCTTGACACGCTTCGTGCGGACTGTATCGTGGTTGGCAACGGTAGGATTATCAGGGACTAGCTGCATTGCTGTCTAGTGCTAGCAGCCATGAGGCAACTTACATTCTCGAGCTAGAGTTATCATTCAGGTCAGCAATCATCAACACCAGATGTGGAGACCAAACGAGGGATGCCTACCCTTCTGGACGATCTTGGAAGCTTCCCGCTCGGCCTAGATGAATTCAGGTCAGTTGCTGTGTTGCTATCCATATCACAGAGATGGACGCGAATGCCTACATCGAGCAGGGTCTGAATGCCGGACGAGTTCTGGGCAGACTATCGAGAGGTTAGAGCAAATCGCTGAGCTTCGGCGAGGTCCATCACCGACCATTGTGGGGTTAAGAGGAGGGACAAGAGTCCCCGAGACAGCTTCGAATTCGAAAAAGACTGAGGGCGACAAAGACAACAGAGCTGAGGTCGAGGTGCCGGGATGCGATGCGAGATGGCGAGGGCGAGGCTGATGTGTTCGTTTGATGGTAGACACTCCAGAGAGATCCCAGGCCCCGTGCTTGGCCGCTTGACGTAGCGCATAGCGACTCAAGATAGGTACCTCCGTGGTGGTGGCATTCAGTGCTATGTCCATGTACTACCTCATAGGCCCCACTGCTCTGCACTACTATCGGCTAGAGCTTATGCAATTTGCACAACGCCAAATGCACGTCATTCTCCAAACCTCTGGTATATTTCATCTCCGATGCTTTACTAAGATGACCGACTGTTGGACCTTGACTCGACAGACTGACATTGCAAATGCGCATTCGCACTCAACAGTATAGAGCCCAGCAATCCCACTCCACATTCGACCTACCCATTCGCACCGGCAATCACAGGTCTTCTCCAATTGAGTCCGACCCGCCACCATGTCTCGCGCCTCGAAAATGACCATGGTCGGTTCCGGCCTCTTCGCCGCTGCCACCATTGTCTTTGTCCACTTCCAACAAAAGGCGGAGAAAGAAGTATGCCACCCTACCTTGGACTGTATCCATTGGCCAGCCTCTGCCTCCACGGAATGAGCTAACAACGCCCACAGGCGATGCATGAAGGCGTAGTACGAGATATCGAGCAACAACGTATCAAAGCTGAGCGTCAACTGGATTTCGACATGCAGCGCGCTCTTGAAGCAGAATATAAACGAGATCAAAATGTCCGAAGTTCATTAGAGCCAAACGACAGCAGTGCGCAAACACCATCAAGATAGAATGTCTCGCCGAGCACTTCCATACATGCACGACAATTCAGACATGTCACGTTTATTGAAGACACACGGAGTCGAAATTGCAGTCTCAGGCAAGATACTGTACAATGATGCGAGGGCTTATAGTCATTCTATGCTCTTTTTCTTTCGCTGTATGGAGTCTCCATCATCGCCGCGACCTCCCATCCAAATACGCCGGCCTTGATCCGAATTGAAATACTGTCTGTAAAGAACGTTCATTACTTATCTGTATATTAAATTATCCCCCCTCAACCCAATTTTTTTTAGCGAATCGAAACGCCAGACCTGCTGGTAAACATTCTTGCGGCGATGTTCATGGCCTGGAGCTCCTGGAACAGAAGCTTAGCAGCGTACGGAATATGGATCTGGGCAATCTTGGTTTTGTTCTTGCAGGGTCGGCATTCAAACGATTGCTTGGAGAGATTGCTGTCACGTGTATTAGCATCAACTCACATGTAAACTCAAAAGAGAAATTTGATCATGATAGATCGTTGTGGAAAACTTACGCAATCGGTGTCATCAACCCACAAATCTCGCAAACGTGAACTCGGAATGCATCGGAAACTTCAAAGAGACGCTCCTTGAGGAAAGCAGCGGCACCATGCGCGATCATACAATCACGCTCCATTTCTCCGAAACGAAGACCACCATCTCTTGCACGACCTTCCACAGGCTGTCTTGTCATGATCTGAACTGGTCCTCGAGCTCGTGCGTGAATCTTATCGTCCACCATGTGACGAAGACGTTGATAATATGTTGGGCCAAAGAAGACTTGTGCACGTAGCTTGCGTCCGGTATGGCCATTGTACATGATTTCGAAGCCACGAGACTGGTAGCCATGCTTCCTCAGAAGATCTGAAACTTGATCGACAGTAACGTCTGTAAAGGGGGTGGCATCACCCTCCATACCTTCCAGTGTCGCCACTTTACTAAGCAAGCATTCAATCAAATGGGCAATTGTCATTCGAGATGGAATGGCGTGAGGGTTGATGATGATATCCGGCGTAACACCTTCTCGGGTAAAGGGCATGTCCTCTTGTCGATATGTGACACCCACAGTACCCTTCTGACCATGACGAGAGGCAAATTTGTCACCAATCTGGGGAATCTTGGTGGTACGCACACGAACCTTGACATACTTGACGTTATCAGCGTTGACGGTCAGAACGACAGAGTCAACAATACCGTTTTCTGTGCTTCGGAGTGGCGTCGAGATATCTCGTCGTTGGTGTGCTGTGGTCCTGGTTCCCAAATCTTGGTTGTCAGGGTCGATTGGTGCTGTTTTGCCAATAATGATATCTTCTCCGGATACACGTACGCCAGGGGCCACAATTCCATCCTCGTCCAGTTTATCGTATGTGCCGTGTTTCATGCGGAGGGTGTTTGGCTGGAAGGGCTTCTCGAAAACTTCGGTATAGTTCAGGCCAACCTTCTTCTCCTGGTCCGAATAGGATCTGAAGAACAGACTACGGAACAGGCCACGGTCGATACTGCTCTGGTTCATGATGACGGAATCTTCCTGGTTATAGCCAGAGTAGCAAGAGATTGCTACAATAGCATTCTGGCCGGCAGGCAACTCTCGGAATTTGAGGAACTCCATGGATCGAGTTGTTCCCAGAGGCTTCTGAGGATAATACAGAATGTTTGCCATGGTGTCCATGCGGCGAGAATAGTTGGTGAGGAAGAAACCCATGGCTTGCTTACCCATAGCAGACTGGTAGGTATTACGGGGAGACTGGAGAACGAGGTCAACGGCCACTCTTGGAAATCTTTCTGCGCATGGTAAAAGGAAATTGGCAACTTACTTGATTGTGATCAGGGAATGGAATAATACTGGCGCAAATTCCCAAAATCATACTTGGATGAATCTCGCAATGGGTGTACATGTGCGTAGTAGGGTTGGTCTTCGTTCGCAATCTTTGATTAGGCTCGGCTTCCAAACTCTGCTCAACATCATAACCGAGCTTTTGGATCCGATATGTCTCCAAATCCTCAGGTGTCATGCAGATCATTGCTGTCTCCTCTTCTTCGGCATCCAGATATTCAACTGCACCGGCACCAATCAGACGGTTCCACCCGGATTTGGACTCTCCTGTTTCACGCTCGGACAGCTCCTTCGCGATCTGGTTTACTAGATCTTTGTTGAGAACCAAAGAGCCCTTGGGGGGGTCACCAATTTGGGTCTCTTCCTGCTGAACGGTGAAGACAGGACGCATCACACGGCCAGCATCCGAGAAAATCTTGAATTCACGATCTCGGATATCACGGACCAGTGATACTTCGTATGGCAGCAGAGATTGACGACGGAGGTCAACGACATGGCTAACCAGGTGCTTCGGATCTTGATGAACGCCAACCCAACTTCCGTTGATGAAAATCTTGGTAGCATGAGGGTACCTGAGGGGCTCATATTCTTCAACAACCTCCATTCCACGATTGATCATGAAATCGATCAAGGGTTCGGATGGGGATCCCACACTCACATAACACATCAAAGATAAGTTTTTGACCAGACCACAAGCCTGACCCTCAGGGGTCTCGGCAGGACATACCAAACCCCAATGTGTGTTGTGCAGTTGGCGAGGCTTGGCCAATTTACCATCTCGGCCAATAGGGGTATTTGTTCGGCGCAAATGGGACAAGGTTGAGGCGAATGTGTACCGGTTGAGAACCTGGGACACACCAGCAGTGGAGCTCATAGCTTTCTTCTGATCACCCCAATTACCAGTGGCCAAAGAGTACTTCAAACCATTGGAAAGAGTGCCGGGCTTGACACCAAATGCCAAATTGAAATGTCGGTTGCCCTCAACGCATCTTCTCAAATAAGTCGAAAGCTCGTTGTTGAGCCTGCGCATGATGTTGCGGAAAAGCTTCGCCAGCAACGGACCAGCCAGATCAAGACGCTTTTTACCAAAGTGGTCACGATCATCGGGTTCTCGTCTTCCTAGAGCGCACTGGAGAAGCTTGTGGACCATGTAACCCAAGAAGAAGGCTTTCCTGGTCTCACTACCCTCGTTTTGTGAAATATGAGGCAGAGTCTCCTTCTGCAGGATGTCCCTTGCCACACGGACACGCTTCTCTCGTCCAAGACCTGCCTGGTCTCGATTGCCTCGCTTGCCGATGAAGTCAAGCGCAACTTCTCTGTCTTGGACACAGAACGCCTCCTCAATGCAAGGTCGAAGCATTTCGAGCATCTGGGTGTCGTTACGGTCGTAGCAGATGTGGTTCAGGATATCTTCATCTGAGACCACACCCAGCGCACGGAAAACGATGGCGACGGGAAGATCAGACTTGACAAATGGGAGTGTAGTATGGATGGTTTGGCCGAAGCCACCACGAGCCGAGTCACCCTTCCCGTAGAGTTTGAGCATAAGGCTGGAAATGAGGCGGGATCCCTTCTCCAAAGCACTCCTGATCTCAGCTGTATACGTATAGGGACTGGGCTGCGCCTTCTTGAAGACTTGGACAATGTTTGCAGCGGAACGTTCTTGAGCGATGAGAACCTTCTCGCTGCCGTTGATGATGAAGTAACCACCCTGGTCATAGGGGCACTCGTTGACGAGAAAGAGGCCATCATCAGGCTCATCATTCAAGTGGCAAATCTTAGATTTGACCATGATGGGAAGCCGGCCAACGTACACGAAGTCCTTCATGCTATCTCCCTTCTCATTGTCCCCGTCTGCTTCTTCTGTTTCCCACTCAAGTCTTGTGGGGTGTTGTCCGGTAGCCGCCATCTCTGACTGCTGGGCGTCATCAAGCTCGTGGAGCGGGATCTCTTTATCCACTGCAACGGATACCTTTTTTGAAATCTTGATGTACATGGGACTTGCGTATGTCAAGTTTCGGTCGCGGCATTCGTATGGGAGGAGAGAAGTGGCGATACCATCCGTTTCGCTAATAGTTGGTCGTGAAACCAAAACCGAGCCGAATTTTATTTCGTATCGCCGCAGAGAAATCTCTCGGTCTGCTGTGGATGGGGGATTTGGTTGGTCGAGTGTAATGGTGCTGTATTCATTGACAAGATCCTGGATAGTGCTCTGTGTGAATTCATCGAAGGACTGTGTCTGCTGGGATACCAGACCTTTTGACTCAAAGAACGAGGAGATGACGGTCCA